ATTAATGCTTTTTTATATTTAGAGTAGTTACAATTCTTCACCTATTTTTGTGATGCTTTTGATACTTATTTTAATCAGACACCAGACATTTAGCTATAGTCAGTCTATTCCTCTTCCCATTTACAGTAGGTGCCAATTTTTTTTAAGGAAGTGTGTTTAATTTTAAGATTAATTAAGAATTGGAATGCTTGTTTTTGTAATTTTATTGGGGTGTTAAAGAGTTGACCTAAACACATTTTATACGAAGCACGAAAGCTCAACGCTTTAACAACCCTATAAAGTTACAAGAAGAAGGATTCAATTAATAAAATTACATTTTTATGATACAGCCATGAAATAATGAGTTTAAACAAGCCTTTCGTTTGTTTTGGGTTTTTTTTTGCATTCTTTTAAAGTTGTCACTGATAGCCTGTGTAGTCATAGATATTGCGCTTTATACAGAAATAGAATTTAACATCTGGAATGACTCAGCCAATCAAAATTTTGGAATTGTATGAAACTTCTACATTGTTCTATATATTGTATTTATTTTATGATAAAGACCTTTATGTCCATATATTTGTATTCAATGTTTGGAACAAGGGATTTTTATACGACCACAAAAATTAAAAATTTTTTGGTCGTATATTGGTATGACGCCGGCGTCGTCGTCTGGCGTCGTCTGGCGGCGTCCGGCGTCGTCCGAAGACACATTGGTTTTCGCACTCTAACTTTAGTTTAAGTGAATGGATCTCCATGAAATTTTACCATAAGGTTCAATACCACGAAAGGAAGGTTGGGATTGATTTTGGGGGTTATGGTACCAACAGTTAAGGAATTAGGGGCCAAAAAAGGGTCAAAAATAAGCACTTTTGTAACTTCCAGACAATAACTTGTGTGTAAGTGTATGGATCTCTCTGACATTGTACCACAAGGTTCCATATCACAAAGGGAATGCTGGGATTAATTTTGGGGGTAATTGCCTCAAAATTTTAGGAATTGGGGGCCAAAAAAGGGGCAAAAAACAAGCATTTTTCTAGTTTAATGACAATAACTTGTGTGTAAGTGTTTGGATATTGTTGAAATTGTACTACAAGGTTCCATATCACAAAAGGAAAGCTGGAATTGAGTTTGGGGGTAATTGCCCGAAACGTTTAGGAATTGGGGGCCAAAAAGGGGCCAAAAATAAGCATTTTTCTAGTTTCCAGACAATAACTTGTGTTCAAGTGTATGGATCTCTCTCTGAAATTGTACTGCAAGGTACCATACCACAAAGGGAAGGCTGGGATTGAGTTTGGGGGTGATGAATCATAAGGGGGTTCAAAAAATTTGGGGGGGGATTTTTTTTTTTCTTTTTTTTCTTTTTTTCCTTTTTTTTTCTTTTAAAATTTTCCATTTTAAGTTGGTTAATTCTGATTAATATTTAAAAGCAAATAATAATGATATGGTAGGAGATACACACTAAACAGGATGTGTAAATTACTATATAATAAGTATTGTGCAATAGCAAGAAATTTTCAATTGCACAGTATTGCACAATAGCAAGAAATCTTCATTGCACAGTATTGCGCAATAGCAAGAAATCTTCAATTGCACATTATTGCGCAATAGCAAGAATTATCCAATAGCACAATATTGCGCAATAGCAAGAAATTGTCAATTGTACAGCATTGCGCAATAGCAAGAAATATTCAATTGCACAGTATTGTGCAAAAGAAGATACTTCGTATAAATTGCTTATTTCTTGATCAATTTCAATGGGGTTTTATTCTTGAATTCTTGGGGTTCTTTAATATGCTGAATCTAACCGTGTATTAAGTTTTTGGATTTTGGGCCCTGTTTTTAAATTGGTCCACATTGAGGTCCAAAGGGTCCAAAATTTAACTTTGTTTGATTTCATCAAAAATTGAATTATTGGGGTTCTTTGATATGCCGAATCTAACCGTGTATTTAGATTCTTAATTTTTGGTTCCGTTTTCAAATTGGTCTACATTAAGGTCCAAAGGGTCCAAAATTAAACTAAGTTTGATTTTAACAAAAATTGAATTTTTAGGGTTCTTTGATATGCTGAATCTAAACATGTATTTAGATTTTTGATTATGGGCCCAGTTTTCAAGTTGGTCCAAATCGGGGTCCAAAATTAAACTTTGTTTGATTTCAACAAAAATTGAATATATGGGGTTCTTTGATATGCTGAATCTAACCATGTATTTAGATTTTTGATTTTTGGGCCCCGTTATCGACTTTGTCCACATTGAGGTCAAAAGGGTCCAAAATTAAACTTTGTTTGATTTCATCAAAAAATGAATTCTTGGGGTTCTTTGATATGCTGAATCTAACCATGTATTTAGATTTTTGATTTTTGGGCCCCGTTATCAACTTTGTCCACATTGAGGTCAAAAGGGTCAAAAATTAAACTTTGTTTGATTTCATCAAAAATTGAATTCTTGGGGTTCTTTGATATGCTGAATCTAACCATGTATTTAGATTTTGGATATTGGACCATAATAGGTGAATGTCCAATTTAAAATTTTTAAGTTCTTAGACCACATTCATTCTGTGTCAGAAACCTATGCTGTGTCAAATATTTAATCACAATCCAAATTCAGAGCTGTATCAAGCTTGAATGTTGTGTCCGTACTTGCCCCAACTGTTCAGGGTTCGACCTCTGCGGTCGTATCAAGCTGCACCCTGCGGAGCATTTTATTATAGCATATTCCAGGAAATAATGCATGTAATAAAAGGACTATTATTTTGAGAATTTGGTGTTTTGACAAGAGTTCTGTTCACTTAATTTACAACTTTCATAGAACCATGACAATTTAGAGCTAGACATATTCTATAGACATTTGTATGTTGCTCTCTAGATGTCGTTTTGTTATTTGTTATGTTAGGTTGCTGACTCGTCATCATAAACCCTACATGTTTATTCATACACAGAATTTGATTTTACATTAGTCTTTTATTTTGTTGTTCTGTTTTAACTTTTCTGTCATCCTTTTGTTTCCCTACAATGAAGTTTTGCACAAAGATATCATGTAAAAAAAAAAAAATGAAAATAACTAGTCATGAGCAATTCAGCATATTTTCCAATTAGTGTTGGTCATTATCTTTTTATGAAAATTCTGATAGCCTTGTGTATTGAGAATAATTATAGAATAACTAATCGAAGAATTCAAATAGAGAAAAATATTCAACGAGTGACCGAACAACACATTAATTCACGAATGCGCATAGCGCATGAGTTAATTATCAGTGTTGTTTGGTCACGAGTTGAATATTTTTCGATATTTGAATTCTTTGATTAGTTATTCTTTTTATTACATTGGAAAATGGTTTTTTTGTGAAATTAAAGTAGAAAATGTAAGGAACTATATCGTTTTCTACGCATTCACAATTTGTTTTGATTCGACGTTATCGACGTCTTGACAACGCCTATTGTTGTATGACGTCAGAGGAGTGAAATAACCACGTTTATTTCACATGTGAAAATATCGGTTTTTATTTCACTGGGAAATCAATGTAATTCATTGCAACCAATGTAATAATTCTAGTTATTAGGATACAGATTGTAGGTTGATGTTTGGATATTTTTATCCGTTTTGTATTTAGACCAATTTGGTACACCAGACATTTATTTTGCGTCGGATTTTGATGTTGTATTTTTGTTTTGAATTATGCATGGGAATTCGATATATGCCAACTTTATGTAAGGCCTGTTTTGAAATCAAGAACAGTTATTGTTTTTAAGATAAAAAATGGAATACTTTTAGAACATCACTACCCTATACCTTTTAATTTGCCAGATCTGTATTGTGGTAGCTGTCAATTTCTTAAGATTCAATACTTTAAGTAATGACTATTTACTTTTTCTAGTGTGATCTTTTGTTTCATTTCCTTTGTAAGGAAAAACAGAGGTATGATGTTTGTAGAGGGGAGAGGGGTAGAAGACCTGAATGTTTTATACCTTGTATACAGATACCTTATGTTATGAAGTTTCTGTCTGTCATATATGTCCATTGTCCTTAACTTCATTTTCATGGTTAAACAACTGCTTAAACTGGTAAGTATTTTTTTTGTCATTTAAATTTCTCACTTATTATGAATAAAGATATTTAGTGTATGGGATCCTTACAAGGTCTACATGTCTGTCAAATAAGGTTCACCTGACCTCGATCTCATTTCATGGATCAATGATCAAGGTTAAGTTTTCATGGTTATGTCTGTATATCAGATACTATAAACAGTAGGCCAACTATATTTGGTGATATGAATTATTGTAAGATGTCGTTCTTGCAGAAATATGACTTTGACCTCATTTACATGGTTCATTGGTCAATGTTAAGTTTCATGGTTAGGTCTGTTTCTCTGGTACTTTAAGCAGTAGGTCAACTATATTTGGTGTATGAAATGATTGTATCGTGTATATGTCTGTCTGACCGTCACCTCAATTCTCATGGTTCAAAAGTCTGCCTCATTTTCATGGTTCATTGGTAAAAGTGTTTTCTTTGGTTAGGTCAGTTTCTCAGATATTATAAGCAATATGTTAATCATATTTTGTGTATTGAATGATTGTATGGTGCAAATGTCAATCTGATAGAGTTCATCTGACCTTTAACTTTTTTAAAAGGATTATTGATAATGTTAATTTTATGTAATACTTGTTGTAAAACCTTTTTCTTTATTAAGGCTTTCAACATAATTCAATCATGATCAGAGACATTTAAGCATGTGCACTCTTGTGTAAATATGTAATGTGCTGACTTTCTTTATTGTCTTACAAATCAACACTTTTCTGAATTGAAAAACCTTTTAATTGTACAATGTTATTTATATGAATATTAATTGTACAATGTTATTTATATGAATATTAATTGTACAATGTTATTTATATGAATATTAATTGTACAATGCTATTTATATGAATATTAAGTGTAGAAATCAATAGTATTACGAAAATTTTCTTACAGCTTTCTACAAGGAATAAATGATTGCGATATTAACTATGCTATTTCTTACAGATCCAAAGTAGATAAAATGTCAGACTTTGTAACAGGAAACCCTTTGGTAGTGAAGATGATCGTCGGTTTTAACAGGTAAACTTAGTAAAACTGATTAAAAGCCTTATTATAAATGTCTTTAGAACAAACTGGCTCATTTTTTGTTGAGCCTACAACATTTATGTCGTGAAAGCGAGACATAACAATCCTACATTTTGTCGTCGGCAGCATCAATCATTTAGGTTCAGTCTGTGGTTAAAGTTTTTTTTAGACATCAATAACTTTGTCAAACCTTCATGGAATTTTAGGAAATTTTGAACAGAAGCTTAGTTATGACAAAAATACAGTATCCAAAGCAAAATTTTTTAAATATTTATTTTTATTTTTCCGTATTTTACTGATAAATAGACTTAGTTTTTTTTACTGTTAACATTCAGATTAAGTCTGATGTTAAAAGTTTTTCAGTCATCAATAACTTTGTCAAACCTTCATGGAATTTTAGGAAATTTAAACAGAAGCTTGTTTCTAACCAAAAGACAGTATCCAGAGCAAAATTTAAAGTTTGTTACACATCAATTACTTTGTCAAACCTTCATAGAATTTTATGAAAGTTTTGTAGAAGCTTTTTTATACGCCTGTTTACGGGACGTATTATGGTATACCGTTGTCTGTCCGTCCGTCATCAACATGTCGGACATTAACTCAAAAACCCTTAACCAATTTGCATAAAACTTTGGTGAATTGTTTATACCTATTGACGTGAGCTCCCTTTCCTTTTTTATAAATTTTAGATTTAACATTTCCAAGTTATGGGGTTTTATTCATTAAAAAAGGGGGGATGTTCCAGTTTTGGGACAATAACTCAAGAATGCTTTCACCAACTTGCAAGAAATTGTGGTGAATTGATTATATCTATTGACATGAGCTCCCTTTCGATTTTTATACATTTTAGGTTTTACTTTTTTGAGTTACAGGGTTTATTCATAAAAAAAGGGGGATTTTCCAGATTTCAGACAAAAAATCAAAAATGCTTTCAGCAGTTCGTATGAAACTTTGGTGAATTGTTTATATCTATTGATGTAAGCTCTGTTTAGAATTTTATAAATTTTACATTTTACATTTTATGAGTTATGGGGTTTTATTCATTAAAAAAAGGGGGTATTTTCCAGTTTTCGGACAATAACTCAAAAATGCTGTCAGCAATTCTCATGAAAATTTGGTTAATTGTTTATATCTATTGATGTAAGCTCACTTTACATTTTCATAAATTTCTAATTTGACATTGAGAATTAATTGAACTTTATTTGTTTATAGTCTGACAACAGATTTACTAAGTATTGCGCAACAGCGCAGTGTATTGCACAACAGCAAGAAATCTTTAATTGAATATAAATTCAATTCATATAACCAATTTCAAGTTCTTTGACTACATTTATTCAGAAACCTATAATATGTCGAATATTTAATACAATCCAAATTCAGACCTGTATCAAGCTTGAATATTGTGTCCATTTTTGCACCAACTGTTTAGGGTTGGACCTCTGCGAGCCTATCCAGCTGCGCTCAGCGAAGCAGTTTATTATGATTAAGTAATATTGTCTGCAGCAAACTTTTGAAAATATATTTTTTTCAATTTCTGTATTTTTCTGATAGATGGACTTAGTTTTATTAAGGTTAACATTTACAGACAGTCTGGGATTAATCTTTTTTGGATCGTTATGAAACTTGGATAGAAGCTTAATTATAATCTTCAAGACCATAAAATATTATCTAAAGGAAATAATTTTTTTGTGCATCTACGCTTAATGAATATTTTTGTTTTTGTTTTCATGCCATATTTTTACTCCTTTACAGGAATCAGAGAGGTCAGAATGCTCTAAGAGATATGTTGAGTCCTTTAGTCAACAGTGTTATAGAAGACAAAACTTTGAAAATCAACACTAATCCTATTGAAGTATACAAAGTTTGGGTAAACACCACAGAGTCTACAACTGGTGTAACAAGGTTGGTCTTGTATTTCAGTGTGTCAGCTTGTATGTTCCCCTTGAAGGAAGTACACCACTTATTCATGGCCCCATTGCTTTCTATGTTAAATTCCTCAATTTCAAGCAGGCACAGCTCTTTTGTCTTACGTTCAAATAAAATGGCAATCATTGCATGTCAAAGCAACACCTTATGGTGTATTGTACTGAAAAATCAACATACCTTTAATTGCATATAAGAAAGAACTGGTTCCGGGAACTTTGGATGTACCAAAACAGGTACTTCAGAACTGACAAATGGGCAAAATGTACCCTCCTTTTTAAATTTCATGCAATTTTTTTATTATTCAAAATTATAAGTCAAAAAGTATTCTACAATGATCACCAGTCATTCAACTTTCATTTGAGACCAAAATTACCAAAATATTCTACATATTTTGAAAGTTTCACCCATGTATAAGAACTATTTTGTGTTCAATATGTACTACTTTCTAATATGTGCTTTCTAACCAGGCCCGAATTAGTGGTATTACACCTGAAGAATTATTGAACTGCCATATAAATGGCCATCAACTTGCAAATAAAAAATCATAATATGAAATATTGCTATCTTTTATGTCACCGCTGCAAATATTAGGCTGTGTCTCATTAAACCCCCTTATGCAGGCATTCTTAATTTTAAATGTCCTTCCCTTGAATTTTTTACTGCATTTTCCTCCTTAATTACAAATCATGAAATTTGATAACAAGCTTCACGTGAGCATGCTATACTGTGATGCTTTATTACATCCATCACATCCATCACTCATCAATGCCCTGTGAACTTAATACGTATATCCTGACACATAATGGCCATGTATGAAATGTTTGTCAGTAACTATGAACTATAGCTGCCTGAAATTTGGTTTCAAGCTTCATGTGAGCATGCTGTATGTACTGTGTGATGCATTCTCAAATTCATTGCTCATTAACTTCCTGTTTACCAAATACTTGTATATTCTTTCATAGAATTTCAATGTATGAAGTTTTCATCACATTTCAAGGAATTACAAAATGAATATAACGCTTTATTAGTTCCATGCATCTGAATCACTTTTTAGCTCATCTGACCCAAAGGGTCAAGTGAGCTTTTCTCATCACTTGGCGTCCTGCTTCTGTTGTCGTCCGTTAACTTTTACAAAAATCTTCTCCTCTGAAACTACTGGGCCAAATTGAACCAAACTTGGCCTAAATCATCCTTAGTGTATCTAGTTTAAAATGTGTGTCCAATGACCCCGCCTGCCAACCAACATGGCCGACATGGCTAAAAATAGTGCTTAGGGGTAAAATACAGTTTTTGGCTTATATCTCTTCAACTAAAGCATTTAGAGCAAATCTGACAAGGGTACAAATCATGGATTTTTCTAGCATTCCACAGGATCCGGTATTTGGACCCATTCCCAATGGCAAATACCCTATATTTTTCCCAATTTTGGGAGCAAAATTCCTAAACGATCTCAAAATTTATTTTCATCTTTATTATTCATGACAGCAATGTTCATATTGTTAACAGCTAGCTTTATGCCGAAAATCGCCAACAAGTAATGTGTAAATCCGAGTAAAATCGTATCTGACTGACAAAAACAACATTGAAAAACAATGGATGCCATAAACCAGAAATGAAGACAATTACAATACCGGGTTAGATCCCGGGGGCGGATAAGGGTAATTTCGGGTTTGCCGATCAAATACAATAAAAAAATAATAATTCCAGGCAGGTGACAAAATACATGTTGATGATGAAGTATAAACACTAGAATTGAAAACCAAAAGATATATGGAAAAAAAAAAGAAAAAGCAGGAAATTTATATACAGAAGCTCAATTACTTTTAGTTCACAAATTTTCATGTCAAAATCATATAAAATGTGACAGTAATTTTCCTAATCATTAATAAATGTTGATATTACATGTAGATGTTTTTATAGTGTAAACATATAACTACAATTCCAAGAGGTAATTTCTTCTCAATTTTGAAGTGCCAGTAAAATTCTGGAAGTTTCTTACTTTATTTTCACAATAAAAGATAACTTTTAATGAACTAAACACACTAAAACTCAAATCTGGTATATTTGAATTTTCCCAATTTCATTGAAAAGTGCGTGAAAAAATTCCCAAAAATGGCCAGGATCCTTTTTCCCAAAATACCCAGAAAAAACCCTGCAAATGTTCATCAGGTTATCTAATAAAATTATATGATAAGTAAAACAGGTGAGACATTTCAGGATGTGCTCTCTTGTTTTAATAATTTCTTAATTTATCAACAGAAAATTTAAGACAAGTTTGTTAAAAATCAAAGTCAGTACTGAAGCACGGAATACTGAGTTGATGATACCCTTGGGGACTAACTGTCCACCAGCAGTGGTGTCGATTCAGTGCTAGTAAATGAAATAAATTAACCAAAATTAATCAGATTCATTTAAGGTCACTTTTTTTTACAAATCATCAACTTCCTGTTCATCGAATACTCATAGTGGGTGTATCATAAGGTGCAATAGCTTACAGTTCAACTTGTTGGATTTATATTATAGTGGTTTACCCTATGATGTTACAACAGAACAAGCCTTGAAACATGAGGAAGTTCAGATATTGATACAGGAGTCGGTAGAAAAATTACAAGGAGTGTCTGATTTCTTTCTGACAACTATAGCTAAATCACTGGATAAAATACCGTAAGTACACAATATGATAAATGAAATCCTCAGAATAAACAATATAAACAAATACTTCTTGTTTGTAAATACAAGAGTTGGGAAAAGGGGTTAAATGAAAGAATATTATTGTAATTATTGGATCAGTAAAAATTTATTGGAAATCAAGAAATATGTCCTGGTATTTTACTCTGACACCATCATAAAATGTATGCTTTCCAGATAAAACAAGTGTACTTTGTTTTGTTTTGATGGTTATTTGCTGTTGGAATTAAAAAAAAGAAATTGATGAATATATTTTGTTGTTTACAGTTAAAATATGACCCTAATTGTTTTGTAGTAAAAGATATAACATGTATAACATACTAACATTTCATGTCAATTTGGTCAAATGCCAGTTAATGAACAATTTGCTCCTTTACCCTTAATTGCATAAAATTCATATTTGTTAAGGTACATTAACTTTATTGAAGCCTTTGGTTTGTAAACTGCTATTTGCCCTTTTTGATTAACTTCTTGTAAGTTTTTTTATTAATTATAAAGAAAAAAGTAAAATAACAAAAATATCAAACTCCAAGGAAAATTCAAGTCAGAAAGTCCCTTATCAAATGGCAAAATCAAAAGCTCAAACACATCAAACAAATGGAAAACAACTGTCATATTCCTGATTTGGTACAGGCATTTCCTATGGTAGAAAATGATGGATGAAACCTGGTTTTATAGCTAGCTAAACCTCTCACTTGAATGATAATGATTGTAGTGATAGAATCAAATACATTTATACTATAGTTGGTACAGGCCAATAGAACTTTAGTTATATGCTACATTTGCTACAATCTAATAGATTTTTTTGTGATATGTTATATTTGCTACAGTTCACAAAATTACTATTTGTTAGGAGCTTTAGCAAACATTACTTACTTGTAGTACAAACATTTATTAGGTATGGAATGAGATATATGGCAAAAATACTGAAGACCTCCCTAATTGCAAGGTTTCCAGAAGCTGCTGAAAAAGATATACTCAAGGTATTTAATGTTCCAAGTTGATGACAAGACACATGAGAAAGTGTAGAGCTTTTCATATAAAGCGTTAACATTTACAACCCAAATAAGCTTAAAAGTAGAGATTTTGGTTAAATGTGACAAATTCGTCTGGATTTTAGCCAAATTTATGCCTTTTATTATTATTTACATGATATAAAAAGATCATTTCTGTCGACTAGTTGTTTCCAGCTCCCCAAAAAATTGAAACTTCATTGTATTTTTGTGGAAAAATCAAAATGTGTGCTCTTTGTGACGTCAAGAAAAGAACACTAATGTGTAGTTTTCAAGGAAAGGACATATTTCCTATCTAGTCATTCATTTAGCTATGATTCTTTGTGATATATAATGGTCTATAAATCCTAATTTTGAAATTTTTTGCTAGAAATTGGGGTAATATTAGAATCTTATTGAAGCTACCGTAGAAACTCGCCTAATAGTCGATCCTACTATAAGTCGGGGACCCTTTTCAGCTCAAAATTCTAAGGATTTAGTCTTGACCCTCGTATAAGTCGGACAAAATTTGGGCATTTTTTTTTCAGCTGACAGTAACTGAACGCCGGTAAAACCAATGCAAATCCAGGAATAATATTCATTTCTGCATTAATGTTTGTTTGGTTTGAATTTAGTTGATGCTCATCATGATAATTTATATTGCTGTTAATAATAAAGATGTATTCATTTCTCTTGTTTTGTTCACTGTTCAAATGTTAGATTAGCCATGTGTTGTTTACGTAATGCATCAATGATTTTGTAGGGTATGACTAACAACCTATTGTTTGAGAAAAGCGAATATAAACCAATATGAACCTGAAAAATTTAAAGTCAATCAACACTTGATGAAAATATTTTTCACAGCATACATAACTCGGTGTTAAATGAGCATGTACACTTCATAATTCTTATTATATTGTGGTGATTAAAGGATTAAAAAAATTAAGTGAAGCTAATCAATATATTAAAATAACTAACTCCAACTCATTAGTGTCATCTGTTTACCTATCACTGATAGTTTTCACACCTTTAGTAAATACAACTCTTTGTCTCTTAATTGGGGTTATCAATGGATTATATTGGCTTGTCAATCAATTTTGTAATTTTTGTTTACCTGAGACACTTTAATGAATAATATTTTGATTTTGGGAATGAATCTTAAAATTATCTTTTATTATTATATGATTTATAAGCATTGAATTGATATCATGATATCACAATAACTCCGCTGAAAACATCCTTTCACATATTTGGTACATTGTTATCTCCTTTTCATTTTTGGTTCTTGGCTCTCCTTTTTGGTTTATAGGAAAACCATGTGACCATGAAAATCAATACACAAACCGGAAACAGTAGAATTTCAACACGAATTTGCAGAAAATGTTTACCAAAGAACAAATAAAACACAAAGACAGTATTGTAGTCATTTATTTTCAACAAAAACTTTTTATTTATTGATTTATGTAGGTTTGGCAATCAAAAACGTAGTTTTTACCAGGAAATTCACTCCTGACCACTTTTCTCAAGCTTGGATTTTTCCTCTGGTCGCTAGATCTCGTCTATTAGTCGGTCCCCCTCTCTGGATTATGAATTTTACTCCCAATTTTCCGACTAATAAGCGAGTAGGAACGGTACCCCTTTACTATTTATAAAAGTTATTCACTATGATAAGGTGCTGCCCACTAGATTTGATGTGACAGGGTTCATCCTTTATTACAGGCTTAAGAATTTACATGTTTAGTTGACAAGAACAAGACAAGTCAAATGACTTTCTATTGGGAGCCAATTATAAAATGGGAAAAATCTTTTTCGCTGATTAATTCAGAAATTCGTTTTAAAGGGGAAAATTTAAAGAATCTTAAAAAAAGCACAGAACTTTATGTCAGCATATAGCCATTGCTATGTCCACAAGAAAGGTGTTTATTAAGTCTCCCAAACGAAGTTTGGGAAGACTTATTGTTTTTGCTCAGTTCTTATTATTATTCTTCTTCTTCTTCTTCTTCTTCTTCTTCCGCCCCTTTTAAATTTGAACTTGTCCGCACCCGTTCTCCAAAACCGCTTGTCAGATTAACTTAGGGTTTCACAATATGTTAGACTAACATGTCTAGTGGTGCAATCAGGGTTTTGTTTGTGCAATGGGGTTTATAAAGGGGTACTTTGAGGGGCAAAAAGAAAAGAGGGTTTTACTATAGAACCCTATGGGATTTTATTTTTTAAAATTTTAAAATGATTATAAATTGAAAACCGTTTGTGATAGACACAATCTTTTTAATTGAAAATGTTCTAAATGATAAAAAAGCCCATTAAATGAAATACAGGGTAAGTCCCCAGGGGTCACCCCCACCCCCTGCCATTTAAGAAAGTTCTAATATCTTCTAAGTGGTCAAGATCCCCACCCCTAAACCATATATATTCTGGTTTGTCATGCTAAGATGGTTTGAATGATATACAGGGTTAGTCCCCAGGGGTCATCCCAACCCCCTGCCATTTGAGAAAGTTCTAATATCTTGTAAATGGTCGAGATCCCCACCCCTAAACCATATATATTCTGGTTTGTCATGATAAAGCACATCAAATGAAATACAGGGTTAGTCCCCAGGGGTCACCCCCACCCCCTGCCATTTAAGAAAGTTCTAATATCTTGTAAGTGGTCAAGATCCCCACCCCTAAACCATATATATTCTGGTTTGTCATGCTAAGATGGTTTGAATGATATACAGGGTTAGTCCCCAGGGGTCATCCCGACCCCCTGCCATTTGAGAAAGTTCTAATATCTTGTAAATGGTCGAGATCCCCACCCCTAAACCATATATATTCTGGTTTGTCATGATAAAGCACATCAAATGTAATACAGGGTGAGTCCCCAGGGGTCACCCCCACCCCCTGCCATTTGAGAAAGTTCTAATATCTTGTAAATGGTCGAGATCCCCACCCCTAAACCATATATATTCTGGTTTGTCATGATAAAGCACATCAAATGAAATACAGGGTTAGTCCCCAAGGGTCACCCCCACCCCCTGCCATTTAAGAAAGTTCTAATATCTTGTAAGTGGTCAAGATCCCCACCCCTAAACCATATATATTCTGGTTTGTCATGCTAAGATGGTTGGAATGATATACAGGGTTAGTCCCCAGGGGTCATCCCGACCCCCTGCCATTTGAGAAAGTTCTAATATCTTGTAAATGGTTGAGATCCCCACCCCTAAACCATATATATTCTGGTTTGTCATGATAAAGCACATCAAATGAAATACAGGGTTAGTCCCCAGGGGTCATCCCGATCCCCTGCCATTTGAGAAAGTTCTAATATCTTGTAAATGGTCGAGATCCCCACCCCTAAACCATATATATTCTGGTTTGTCATAATAAAGCACATCAAATGTTATACAGGGTTAGTCCCCAGGGGTCACCCCCACCCCCTGCCATTTAAGAAAGTTCAAATATCTTCTAAGTGGTCAAGATCCCCACCCCTAAACCATATATATTCTGGTTTGTCATGCTAAGATGGTTTGAATGATATACAGGGTTATTCCCCAGGGGTCATCCCGACCCCCTGCCATTTGAGAAAGTTCTAATATCTTGTAAATGGTTGAGATCCCCACCCCTAAACCATATATATTCCTGTTCGTCATGTAATGAACATTTGAATGACGTATAGGGCCAGTCCCCAGGGGTTCCTCCCCATCCCCAATGTTCTAGTATCTTGTAAATGGTCGAGATCCCCACCCCTAAACCATATATATTCTGGTTTGTCATGCCAAGATGATTTGAATGATATACAAGGTTAGTCCCCAGGCATCACTAATGCATATAACTTTACTGGACCAAACCAATTTTCACTGGACGTTGCCCAATGTCAGGCGACCCTGGGAATTACGAATTATGGGAGCTTCGTTTGGGAGACTTCGTAACAGCATCCTGTTACAATCATTTCTTGTTTGGATATATAGTAATAAAATTACTGCAAAAATAAGTAGTATTTTAAACGACCTAATTGATGCCATATTTTTCCACATCAAACTGACTTGTAAATAACACCTCTTTTTTCTCAAATCACCTAAGAATTACTGGAAAGTAGACATTAACTGCAATAATACAGAGTATGAATTCTTATCAGGCCACTTGCTGAGTATTAAGATGAAAACTAAAAAGTAATTAATTCAAGCTGTCTGTAACACAAAGTGATGGTTTGAAATTAATAGTAGTCATGATAGTAGTTGTTCAGGAAAGTTTTAAGTGTTGAATCTTAATATTATAAAATGCCCCAAAAATGGTAAAAATAAAGAGAAAGTTATACTGTAGTAGTGTCATACCACTATTTGTATATTCAACAAGATATATTTTTACTTCACAATCTACTTTTATGTTTTCAACAGATTGTTGGTAACCTGTTGTACTATAGGTACATTAATTCAGCTATAGTAGCACCTGATGGATTTGGTATCATCGATGTAGGAGCAGAAATAAAACTGTCAAATGATCAGAGGAGGAATTTGGGATCTGTAGCAAAGATACTCCAGTTTGCAGCATCTAATAAAGGAGTAAGATTGTTTGTGATTATTTTTATACGCCCGTTTACGGGACGTATTATGGTTGACCGTCTGTCCGTCCGTAGTCAACATATAGGACATTAATTCAAAAACGCTTTAACCAATATGCATGAAACTTTGGTGAATTGTTTATATCTATTGACGTGAGCTCCCTTTCGTTTTTTATAAATTTCAGATTTACCATTTCTGAGTTTTGGGGTTTTATTCATTAAAAAAGGGGGGATTTTTCCAGTTTTCAGACAATAACTCAAATGAAACTTTGGTAAATTGTTTATATCTATTTTTGTAAGCTCCCTTTTGATTTTTATAAATTTTCGATTTTATGTTTCCGAGTTATAAGATTTTATTTGTTTATAGTCTGACAACAGATTTACGAAGTATTACGCAACAGCACAGTGTATTGCACAACAGCAAGAAATCTTTCATATAACCAATTTCAAGTTCTTTGACTACATTTATTCAGAAACCAATAATACATTTATATCAAATTTTTAATTACAATCCAAATTCAGACCTGTATCAAGCTTGAATATTGTGTCCATTTTTGCCCCAACTGTTCAGGGTTGGACCTCTGTGGGCGTATCCAGCTGCGCTCAGCGAAGCAGTTTATTTTGTAAAGATATTACATCATCAGTTTTTGGAAAGATTGGAACTTGTTCTAAATCTTTCCTAAGGCACTGGCCTCCCTAACAACAAGTAACTTAGCACAGGTTAGCTACTAAATCTACAAAATGTATACACATTGAAATATAGTTCCCTATAATTCTCATTTCTGTGCACATATGCACATATAAACTGTGAAAATTTTGGTTTTATTTTTGGTGCAGTTCATTAGAGTATGCATGTCTTTAAAGTGTGTTGATATGCAGGCTTTTTTATCATTTTGATTAGGTAATTGAGTAATGATCCATTGCTACTATGATTGACAACTGTCATGATCACTAAACAATAACAGACAAGGTGGGGCCTTATTTACAATGCACCACCTCCTTAAATGCCAATCATATTGACCACATTATCATATTGACCACATTACTAATCAACCTCAGTCTTACATAATTATACAGACCCTTCAATATACATCTCAATATACTCTCAATACACAAATATTTGACCTCATAATTGAATACACAAATGTATATATTAGATGTTTGATATATAGAGATGATAGATTTATTCATTGCCTATTACTTTTGATTTACACTACATAAAGTGATTCTGTAAACTATATCTTAAAGATAAATTATTAATTAAGGATTAACAAGATCTTTAAAAAAAAATGAAATCTAGATATAAATATATAAAAGGTATTCAAGTAAGGCCTATGATTTACTTGATAAATCTGCAATAATCATCTGTAATTAATTAAATATTTAGATTAGTTCACTTTTTTTTATCAGTGATTGGCTGAAAACAATAAGTAAAATTTTAAAACTCTTAATCAGAACAAACCAATTTTCTTAAGTTTTTTAAATTTGATTTGTTGAAAAAGTAGATTTTCAATGCCCTTTGCTGAAAAATATTTAAATTATAAATTGATTAAAATACACTCTATAACTTTTATTCTTCAATGTCATATAATTATGATATTTGTTTTCAAAATCCAGAAGCAATTCTCAGAGGAGAAAAATAATATACCTATGTTTCAACTTACAAAACACCCCAAAACAACCTTTTTAAATTATTTTTTGACCCAATAAAGTCTGTAGCTTCAAGTCTATCTGTTGGTCTATGCATTTTTTTGTTTTGTTTCAGAAGATAAAATGTAAAAGGTGAAATGTGTAAAGGGGAACATCATTTGGTTAAGATATAACTGCAATTTTAATGAAATTCTTGTGCAAATTAAGGGATATTTAGTCCACCCTTTTACAGAATTTTTGGCCCTCCATGCTCTGCAACTTTGTACTTTATTTAGCCTTTTAACTTTTTGATCAGAGTGTCACCCATGTGCCACTTGTAGACAAAATTTTAAGTCTGGTATCTTTAATGAATTTTTTTAATAGAAGAATTTGGCCATTGTTGTAGCTCAACTTAAAAGGCAAATAAAGTTCAGATTACATCTTACATGATAACTCAAAGAAGACAAAAAATGGAGTTCATAATGAATACTCATCAACATGAATAATGCACAACTTCTTCCAATATATAGTGGTTTCACAATATCATAATATTATAAGGTTAACCTTGAAATCAATCCACAGCTTATAGAGACATTTTCCTTTTGATGATGACAATTGGGATTTCTTCCAAAAGCGTCAAAACTAAAAAAAAATCTTAGATTAACTCAATTTTGAATTGGTCAGAAGAAAAAAAACTGTTGAATAAATTTAACTTCAAAGAGATTTTCGTTGTTATCAGGTGAACGTTCACATAATTGGCAACATTTTGCTTTTTTTGGGGTTGAAAATGTATTATTTTAGAATTAAAAAAAGACAGGATTAAATTCATGAAGGATCAATATTGGCCCATATCACAGGTGTGATTGTAGTAGACAAGCTGAGTTAGGCTGTTTAATGGGAAACCATGTCCATTTTTTCCTGAGAGAATCTCTAATGGATCAGACCATAACTACAATAGCTTATATGTGAATTAAGAAAAATTTTTAAAACTTCACCTATGCACATTTTATCATTTCAAACCAAACTTCTGAAGTAAGTGCACTGTTTAATTGTTGGATGAAGTTCCTTGGAGTTTCTAGTATTAGTAGTCATGCTTTAGTAGTCAAGCATGACAAGTCACAATATTTTGTAGGTGCATGCATTATAAGGGGTTTGTTTTAATTTGACATCATAAAAAGCTATGGTCTACTTTTAATGGTGTAGTATAAGGTAAAGTCATTTCCTCAGTAACAGTGAATGACAGATCAACAGTATTTGGTTGTTGTGAGGGGTAGATATCTATTGAACATGTGCAAATATCTGTATTTGATGGGTGTCATGTTAAGTAGACCTCAATTTCATGTTCATTGGCCACAAAAATGTATTAAAACATTGCACCCGTTGTGACCTTTTATTGTTCCATTACTTGAACCATTTTCATGAGATTTCTATCTAACAACAGGAGTTCTTCTTTTCGAAAGAAGAAATCCTAGAGTCTCACAAAATTTCTTGAGAGCTATCACAAGAAGATTATATCATTGCGTAATAATTGTTATCTCCAATTTTTTTTAGTTTGGTGGTGACAGCTCTTATTTAGCAAGTATGAACAACTACATCAGAGAGGCTCATGAAAAATTCAAGTAAGTTGAATTATAATGAGGTAGACTTTTTATGAGAGCATTGCTAGAAAGAAGGGTTTGGTCTTTTTGCATTAAAAAATCAAATCAGTCAAAAGGTTTCATTGGCATTTGCATGTGTCTGTTTCCATTGATCTCATTTTCATGGTTCAGCGACTTCAGTTTTTATACACCCGTTCACAGGACGTATTATGGTATACCGTTGACTGTCTGTCCGTCTGTTTGTCTGTCCTTCGTCAACATGTCGGACATTAACTCAAAAACACTTTACCCAATTTGAATAAAACTTTGGTGAATTGTATATATCTATTGACAAAAGCTCCCTTTCGTTTTTCATAAATTTTAGATTTTACGTTTCAGAGAAATGGGGTTTTATTCATTATAAAAAGGGGGGTTTCCAGTTTTCAGACAATAACTAAAAAATGCTTTCTCCAATTTGCAAGAAACTTTGGTCAATTGTTTTTATCTATTGACATAAGCTCCCTTTTGATTTTTATAAATTTTAGATTTTACGTTTTTGAGTTATGGGGTTTTATTCATTAAAAAAAGGGGGATTTTCCAGTTTTCAGACAATAACTCAAAAATGCTTTCAGCAGTTCTCATGAAACCTTGGTGAATTGTTTATATCTATTGATGTAAGCTCCCTTTTGATTTTTATAAATTTAAGATTTTACGTTTTCGAGTTATGGGGTTTTATTCATTAAAAAAAAGGGGTATTTTCCAGTTTTCCGACAATAACTATAAAATGAATTCAGCAGTTCTCATGAAACTTTGGTGAATTGTTTATATCTATTGATGTAAGCTGCCTTTTGATTTTTATGAATTTTAGATTTTATGTTTCCGAGTTATGGGGTCTTATTCATTAAAAAAAGATTTTCCAGTTTTTAGCTCACCTGGCCCAAAAGTGGCGTCCGTCGTTAACTTTTACAAAAAACTTCTCCTCTGAAACTACTTGGCCAAATTTAACCAAACTTGGCCACAATCATCATTGGGGTATCTAGTTTAATAAATGTGTCCGGTGACCCGGCCAACCAACCAAGATGGCTGCCATGGCTAAAAATAGAACATAGGGGTAAAATGTAGATTTTGGCTTATATCTCTGAAACCAAAGCATTTAGAGCAAATCTGACATGGGGTAACATTGTTAATCAGGTCAAGATCTATCTGCCCTGAAATTTTCAGATGAATCGGACAACCCGTTGTTGGGTTGCTGCCTCTGAATTGGTAATTTTAAGGAAATTTTGCCGTTTTTGGTTATTATCTTGAATATTATTATAGATAGAGATAAACTGTAAACAGCAATACTGTTCAGCAAAGTAAGATCTACAAACAAGTCAACTTGACCAAAATGGTCAGTTGACCCCTTCAGGAGTTATTGCCCTTTATAGTCAATTTTTAACCATTTTTCGTAAATTTTTGTAATATTTTACAAAAATCTTCTTCTCTGAAACTACTTGGCCAAATTTGTCCAAACTTGGCCACAATCATCATTGGGGTATCTAGTTTAAAAAATGTGTCCAGTGACCAGGCCAACCAACCAAGATGGCTGCCATGGCTAAAAATAGAACATAGGGGTAAAATGTAGATTTTGGCTTATATCTCTGAAACCAAAGCATTTAGAGCAAATCTGATATGGGTAAAATTGTTTATCAGGTCAAGATCTAACTGCCCTGAAATTTTCGGATGAATCGGACAACCCGTTGTTGGGTTGCTGCATCTGAATTGGTAATTTTAAGGAAATTTTGCTGTTTATGGTTATTATCTTGAATATTATTATAGATAGAGATAAACTGTAAACGGCAATAATGTTCAGCAAAGTAAGATCTACAAATAAGTCAACTTGACCAAAATGGTCAGTTGATCCCTTAAGGAGTTATTGCCCTTTATAGTCAATTTTTAACCATTTTTCGTAAATTTTTGTAATCTTTTAAAAAAATCTTCTCCTCTGAAACTACTTGGCCAAATTTAACAAAACTTGGCCTCAATCATCATTGGGGTATCTAGTTTAAAAAATATGTCCAGTGACCAGGCCAACCAACCAAGATGGCCACCATGGCTAAAAATAGAACATAGGGGTAAAATGTAGATTTTGGCTTATATCTCTGAAACCAAAGCATTTAGAGCAAATCTGACATGGGGTAAAATTGTTCATTAGGTCAAGATCTATCTGCCCTGAAATTTTCAGACCAATCAGGCAACACGTTGTTGGGTTGCTGCCCCTGAATTGGTAATTTTAAGAAAATTTTGCAGCTTATGGTTATTATTAGCTCACCTGGCCCGAAGGGCCAAGTGAGCTTTTCTCATCACTTTGCGTCCGTCGTGGTCGTCGTCGTCGTCCGGAGTCGTCTGTTAACTTTTACAAAAATCTTCTCCTCTGAAACTACTCGGCCAAATTTAACCAAACTTGGTCACAATCATCATTGGGGTATCTAGTTTAAAAAATGTGTCCGGTGATCCGGTCAACCAACCAAGATGGCCGCCATGGCTAAAAATAGAACATAGGGGTAAAATGTAGATTTTGGCTTATATCTCTGAAACCAAAGCATTTAGAGCAAATCTGACATGGAGTAAAATTGTTTATCAGGTCAAGATCTATCTGCCCTGAAATTTTCAGATGAATCGGAGAACCTGTTGTTGGGTTGCTGTCACTAAATTGGTAATTTTAAGAAAATTTTGCAGTTTTTGGTTATTATCTTGAATATTATTATAGATAGAGATAAACTGTAAACAGCAATAATGTTCAGCAAAGTAAGATCTACAAATAAGTTGTCATTACCAAAATTGTCAGTCGACCCCTTTAGGAGTTATTGCCATTAATAGTCAATTTTTAACAATTTTTCGTAAATTTTTGTAATCTTTTAAAAAAATCTTCTTCTCTGAAACTACTGAGACAAATTTAACCATACTTGGCCATAATCATTATTAGGGTATCTAGTTTAAAAAATTTGTCCGATGACCCCGCCTTCCAACCATCATGGCTGACTTGGTTAAAAATAGAACATAGGGGTAAAATGCAGTTTTTGGTTTATATCTCTGAAACTAAAGCATTTAGAGCAAATCTGACAGTTGGCAAAAATGTTCATCAGATTTAGATTTATCTGCCCTGAAATTTTCAGACGATTCCAACAACCCGTTGTTGGGTTGCTGCCCCATAGTTAGTAATTTTGCAAAAATTTTGCAGTTTTTTGTTATTATCATAGATATCATTATAATATCTAATATCTAATACTATTAATTATGATTTTAACCTTATTTTACATGATTTCCAAAGCATCAGTAAATACAGGTGAGCGACACAGGCTCTTGAGAGCCTCTAGTCTTGAATATTATTATAGATAGAGATAAACTGTAAACTGCAATAATGTACAGCAAAGTAAGATCTACAAAAAAGTCAACATGATCAAAATTGTCAATTGTCCCCTTAAGGAGTTATTGCCCTTTATAGTCAATTTTTTACAATTTTCATAAATTTTGTAAATTTTTGTAAATTTTTACATAGTATTTTCCACTGTAACTACTGGGCCAAGTTCATTATAGATAAAGATAATAGTAAGGAGCAAGAATGTTCAGTAAAGTAAGATCTACAAACACATCACCATCACCGAAACACAATTTTGTCATGAATCCATCTGTGTCCTTTGTTTGATATGCACATAGACCAAGGTGAGCGACACAGGCTCTTTAGAGCCTCTAGTTTTACAATACCTTTAAAGTGCTTAGAGCAGTTTTCATTAAACTTTCGTGACTGGTTTATATCTATTTAGATAACCTCCCTTTATTTGTTTATAGTCTGACAACCGATTTACTAAGTATTGCGCAACAGCACAGTGTATTGCAGAACAGCAAGAAATCTTCAATTGAATATAAATTCAATTCATATAACCAATTTCAAGTTCTTTGACTACATTTATTCAGAAACCTATAATATATCAAATATTTAATTACAATCCAAATTCAGACCTGTATCAAGCTTGAATATTGTGTCCATTTTTGCCCAAACTGTTTAGGGTTGGACCTCTGTGGGCGTATCCAGCTGCGCTCAGCGAAGCAATTTATTGTCTTGCCTGCGACGAAAGTTTTTGTGGTGGAAATGAAGACATAGGTGTTGCTTTTCCGTCGATGACAGCTGCAGCAACAGTGATGGCTTCAACAATTGTTAAGTTTTCTGGTTGAGTTAGTTTGATAGAAACTACTTGTTATAGATCAATATTATATTCTATAAAGTTGCATTATTATCAGTATATATCAGTTTGATGACTATTTTGAGGCCCTGCCCCCTAGGTCATGGTCCAGCAACTTTCAATTAATAAGCAATTTTCAATGTTAAGTTTTCTGCTCAAGTTAGTATGATAGGAACTACTTGTGATAGATTAATGATATTTTCTATAAAGTTGCATTACATGTACTATCAGTACATTTCAGTTTATCAACCATTTGGAGGCCCTGCTTCCTAGTATATGGTCCAGCAACTGTGAATTTATTAGCAAAGATTGTGTTTTTTAATTTTCTGACAACAGGCAAGACATGTTTCTGTTACAACAGTTTATTTAATAATGTGATTTTTATGAAACCTTAATTAAACGGGAGGGTAAAGTCGTCGTTTTGTCTGTCCATCCAAAGTGTCTGAAACAAATGATTCTAGAAGGTAACTTGAGTTTCCCTTCCTTAATTGAAAAGAATGGAAAAGATAGAGAGGGAAAAGAAGCAAATAATTCAACACTGTTGAAATTTTCAGCTGATTCCCTATTGTTATTTCCTCTGAATATTGATTTTTACCCATTTTTTATATGACTGTATAATGATATGGCGATGAAGTCTGAAGACATTTGGTTTCCAAACAGTAACTTGAGTATAAGTCAATCGATCTCTATGAAATTGTACTGCAAGGTTCCATACAACAAAAAGGAAGGTTGGGATTGAATTTTGGGGAAAAAATAAGGAGTTTTCAAATTGATCGACATTAAGGTCCAAAGAGTCCAAAATTTAACTTAGTTTGATTTGAA